GTAAGAGCTTTCTCTGTCTGCCTCTCAAATTAAAAAAAAACATTTTTAAACTATAACAGATTAACTTAGAGGTTTCTTGTATTAAAGTGTAAATTGTTGATTATACTAAGTTTAGAAGAGGTCTTAACCTGCTTACATCCTTTTGCTTTCCATTATTTGAAGTATTGTGGAATCTTCACCTCAGTCATTTGTTAATTCTTACCTGAAAGTTATATAAATAGAAGTACACAAGTCATTGTGAAGGAAATGATTCAATTGGCATTCTGCTGCTATTCTCATCCTGTCTTTGTTTTGCTTTCAATATTCCTAGATTTGATGCAATGGATGAATATGGATCTAAGGTTGAATGCAATTCTTAGATTAACTTAACTGTTACTATTGATGATAGTGATATTATTGATAAAAGATAAGATAGTTCACAGGCCAGAATTCCTTTAGAAATGTTTGAAGTATTATAGTAGGAAATTTGTATAGATGTATAGAGATTTTGATATTTTAGAATTACCATTAATTTTACTTGGTATTGTGGTTTGTTTTTTTTTTTTTTTAAAGAGTCAGTATTGTATTTCAATGTGATATCTGCTTTTTACTTTAATGTAGTTCTAGGGTTCTAAGAGCAGAGAGGTCAGTAATCATTGAAAGAAACTGGAACTGGCTCTCATGGGGGATGTTGGCACTGCAGGCCACAGCTGAACCCAGTGAGCCACAGCACTATCCTGTATCCCTCCAAATTTATCCGTTTAAATTAAATTAGACAGTAACAGGTTTCCAGTTAATAATATTCTCATCTGTATTATATTTTTGGAATTTTTCATTAAAAATTAGAAATAAATACCAGTTTTGTATATATTACATTTAGAATAAGAAATTTAAGAAGTTCTGTTCCCACCCTGACTCTTATTTGATTGTTTGAATTGTTCGTTCTGTGCATATTGGGTAGGTTCTTAACTTGGTCTTTTGCCTAAGAACTTAATGAAGTAAATTTAGAAACCTATGTGGTAATATGCTCCTGAAGGATTTAAAGGTACATAACAGCCTGTAATATCAAATTGTTACATTCTAGTTAGGAGCAGAATATAAAAGTAATATTTAAGTAAAACTTTTTTACACACTTACAGGTTATTTAATTTCTTTTTCATGGAGAATAAATAGAAGAATTTTATTTGAATGACAAAGTGAGAGAGATCTTCTATCTGCTGTTTTCATTCTCAGATGGCTACAACAGCTGGAACTGGGTGAAGCCAAAGCCAGGAGCCAAAATACTTCATAGTTTCTCCTGTGGGTACAGGGGCTCAAGTATGTGCTGCTGCTTTCCAAGGAACATTAGTAGGAGCTGTATTAGAAGTGGAGCAGCCAGGATTCAAACTTAGCCTTCTATGCCTGCAATACTGGCCCCATGAATTCCTAGTTCTTCGTCTCAGTTCATTGAGAGAACTGATAATAATATATCAGTGTTAATCATAAGACAGTTTCGTGTAAGAACAAGTGACACAAGACTTTTTGACATTAAATAAACTAGTGTTAGTAAACATGAATTCGTGGTTTTAAAGCTTTACATGTAATTTTACTCACTCAACAGATAATTTTTATGAATTTGCTATATGCCAGATATTCTACAGATGTAGATGTAGTGTGAACCACAACCTTATTTACTTGCTTTCTGCTTGCAGTTTTATTTTTAGAAAATGATGATCAAAATATATTGGATTCACGGCCGGCGCCATGGCTTACTTGGCTAATCCTCCACCTGCAGCGCCAGCACCCTGGGTTCTAATCCCGGTTGGGGCACCAGTTCTGTCCCAGTTGCTCCTCTTCCAGTCCAGCTCTCTGCTGTGGCCTGGGAGGGCAGTGGAGGATGGCCCAAGTGCTTGGGCCCTGCACCTGCATGGTAGACCAGGAAGAAGCACCTGACTCCTGATTTCAGATTGGTGCAGCGCACCAGCCACAGCGCACCAGCTGTGGTGGCCATTTGTGGGGTGAACCAACAGAAGCAGACCTTTCTGTCTCTCTCTCTCACTGTCTAATTCTGCCTGTCCAAAAAAAAAAAAATTGGACTCTTGTGTGTCAGTCATCCTACTATCTTATTAATCATTAATACAGTAATATTTCAGCCATATTACTTCCTATCTTGTATGTGAAACTAAGACCTAAAGTGATAAAATAGCATGATCTAAGAAAATAACAATGTGCTGAGATTTTTAGCTCAATGAATCAGGCTGATTCTGAAACAATACTTTTACTACTGTTGTAACCATAAGCTTTATTATGAAATGATATGTAGCGTTACCTGGCAAATAGATCTTCATATAGGAATTGAAGACTTCAAATAATTAATATATACATAACAGATAAAACTTTTAACTTCTTTGGTTGAGATTGGGAGAGGAGCAGAAAGCATTAGACTGGTACTGTTTTGCTTTGCCCAGTCAATTGATTGCCATAAACCCTCCTCACATTCATGAATTTCTTAAATCTTTTTTAAAAGATTTATTTTATTTACTTGAAATACAGAGTTACAGAGTGAGGTAGAGCAAGAGAGAGAGAGAGGTCTTCTATCCACTGGTTCATTCCCAAATGACTGCCATGGCTAGAGCTGAGCTGATCCAAAGCCAGGAGCTTCTTCCGGGTCTCCCACGTGGGTGCAGGCACCTGAGGACTTGGGCCATCTTCTACTGCTTTCCCAGACCATAGCAGAGAGCTGGATCGGAAGTGGAGCAGTCAGGACTAAAACCAGCGCCTATAAGGGATGCTGGCACTGCAGGCCACAGCTTTAACCCACTGTACCACAGCACTGGCCCTGAATTTCTTAAATCTTATTAAAATGCTTTCATGAAAACTTAACTGTGAAAAAACTAGGTGGAGAGGATGGATGTATTAAGTTGTAAAAGACTAGCATGTTTTGGAGGTGAGTGTCAGAATGCAAGGAACAAAATTAATTTTAAACAAAGCCAGGGACATTTTAAAGACTAAATGAGGGAAAGAGTTTTAAAAGGCAAGAATGTAGGTTTTAATGAAGAAATTGAAGACAGGTTTATCTGTTACCCCAATTTTCTTTGCCATATCATGATAGGTGCAGTCATTTGTTTAAATGTGTAAAGAGAAGACCTGGGATAATGTCTCCCAACGTCATAAAAGATATGTTCAAAGCTGTTAATTATCCACAGTAAGAGAAAGTAGGCACAGAATTAGAAGTAATGTAGAAATCATCTGAAAGTTGGAATTTCCAGAGGTATTTTAATTCTGAAAGGCAAATTAAGAAAAGTCTACAGTGTTAATAATGTAGAATGGTTTTTATGAAAACCATATTGAATTTTTAGAAGATACATACAAGGATGATATCCTGAGAGAGTGGTCGTGGTTTCAGAGTAAATGATCGAGACATTATTGAAATTTAGTTTAATTATGTGTAAATTTAAATTGAAATAAAATTATTGGGGCCGGCACGGTGGTGTAATGGTTTAAAGCCTCCACCTGCAATATGGACATCCTACATGAGCACAAGTTCAAGACCCGGCTGCTCCACTTTCTATCCAGCTCTCTGCATTGGCCTGGGAAAGAAGTAAAAGATGGCCCAAGTACTTGGGCCCCTTCACACATGTTGGAGACCAGGAAGAAGCTCTTGGCTTCTGGCTTCGGAGTGCCTCAGCTCCGACCATTATACCCAATTGGGGAGTGAACCAGCAGATGGAAGATCTCTCTCTCTCTCCGCCTCTCCTTCTCTCTCTGTGTAACTATGAATTTCAAATAAAAATAAAATTATTAATTTGTTTCAGATTAACCAGGTTACTCATGGTCAAGCAGTGGTGCTGCAAAGTGCCCTTCAGATCATTCCTAATCCTTCATCTGAGTGCATGCTCAGAAATGTATCAATACGTCTTGCTCAGCAAATATCTGATGAGGTTAGTATAAAACTTTGACTAGCACCCGGGATGTTTTCTAATCACTAATAATTACATAAATCTTAACTTGAAGTAAAGTATTCGGAGATGCAGAGACATCTCTTTTTTGTTAATTACCTTTAATCTGTTTGTTAGAGCTTTAGATAATACTTCTGAAAATGTTTAACCAGACTCTCTGAGTTACAGTTTGCTTTGCATAAATTAGATTGTCTTATAGGCCTTTGAATTGCTGATAGAGTCAAGGAACAGATTCTGTCAGCCCCCAAATTTTTATGTACACATATGTAATTTATCCCACTGATTGTCCCTGACTCTAAAATTTGCAGTACACTATTTGTCTTTGTAGAATAGTTTTCATTTTTTAAGAGTTATTTATTTATTTGAGAGATGAAGTTAGAAACAGAGAAAGGGAGAGGTAGAGAAGTCTTCCATCTGCTGCTGCTTTGCTTCCCAGTTGGTCACAACAGCCAAAGCTGGGCCAATCCAAAGGCAGAAATCAGGACTTTTTTCTGATTGTCCCACATGGGTGCAGGAGACCAAGCACCATGTTCCACTGCTTTCTCAGGCCATCAGCAGGGAGCTGGATCAGAAGTGGAGCAGCTGGGACTTCAGCTGTAGCCTATATGGGATGCTGGTGCTACAGATGAAGGCCTGACCCACTGCACCATAGTGCCTGGCTCCTGTTACATTTTACATAAATGGAATTATAGATTGTATATTTCTTTGTGTCTGGATTTTATCAGCGAACCTGATTTTGAAAGGTATATGATTTTACTTTATTCACACTTTTTTATGGTCACTCCATGTATTTTTAATTTACTCATCTGTTAACGGACACTGGGATTATTCCTAGCTCTCAACTGTTGGGAATGAAGCTTTTAAGAAGTTCATCAACTACCCAGAATACTTCTCTGGCATATTTTTCCATATTTGTTTAGTAAATAAATGCAGAATGACTAGATAATCTGATTTTTCTGTTCTTATGGCTCTTGTGAAAAAATACTATAGAGCCTAAGTAGATCTTAACCTGTGCATATTGATATTAAATTTGTCTTGTCCTTCATTTGGGAAATCACATTATAGCTTAATGTTAAAATACAAATAATATGAAACCAAAGATAGTCTAAACATATGTATTTATTTTACAGCCATTTTTTCAACTTTGCCAAAGTTCTGTTTTCCTACATCTCTTTATTATTCTGTTACTAATTTTAATAACTTTTTTAGGCCTCAAGATACATGCCTGATATATGTGTAATTAGAGCCATACAAAAAATTATCTGGGCTGCAGGATGTGGGGCATTAGAGCTAGTATTTAGTCCAAATGAAGAAATCACTAAAATTTATCAGATGGTAAGTTTTATTATAGAAGTATATTACCTTTAAAGTAAAAATTGTTTAATTATGAGTATGACTAAGTTTTCATTATGTCTGCCATGTGTGATAGACCAAGTTATATATATCTATCTTGCTATTACTTAGAGATAAAATAACAACATGTAGTTTTTATTGGAAAATAAAGTGCTTCATGATTCTGCCTTAAGAATAAGTTAGTTTCCTTCTAAAATTATATTTTTAAATTTCTCAAAATAATTACTTTGTAATGAATCTTCTCCTCCACTTTGTTATACTTCTTGCTACTTATGTGAATTTTTTGATAATTTTCTCTTGGAATTATGACATTTAATGTGAAATAGGCATATTATTTAGATATTAGTTGTGCTTCTTGTACACCTATTAGGTTATTTGCAGAAATGAATCTGACTCTTTGATTTCCTATCATTTACTTACCTCTTTTGTATTTTTTAAAAATATTTGATTGCTCATCTGTCCCAGGCATACTTCTCTATATGGATTCAAAAAAGTTTTGTAGAAAATGAACATCTTTAACTTCATATTCCTTTAATGTTTTGAGGAACCCTTACGTATTTTGATGTGTAGATGCTGTTAAAAGTTATGAGGAACCTCTCTCAGTATATATATATTTTTTAAAGATTTATATATTATATGTAGTGTAATATATATAAATATATATATTTTAAAGATTTATGTCTATTATTGGAAAGGCAGAGTTACACAGAGAGAGGAGAGGCAGAGAGAGGTCTTCCATCCAATGGTTTACCACCCCCAATTAGCCGCAATGGCCAGAGCTGTACCAATCCAAAACCAGGAGCCAGGAACTTCTGGATCTCCCATGTGGGTGCAGAGACCCAGGGACTTGGACCATCCTGCACTGCTATCCCTGGCCACAGCAGAGAGCTGGACTGGAAGATGAGCAGCCAAGTTTCAAACTAGCTCCCATATGGGATGCCAGCACTTCAAGGCAGGGCATTAACTGGCTGCACCACAGCACTAGCCCATCTCAGTATATTTTAAGTTGCAAAAATTTTCCATTGCCTTCATGAACATTTTTGTGAGATGGTTGCTTTTTAAATAAAATGGTATTTTAGATAGGTTGCCCCAGTTGTAGTGCCGCAATAATTCTTTGAAGAGAATAGCTGAAGCCAGAATACATGAATACATCAAAAAGTTTGTGGAAAATGAAATTAAAAGATGAATTTATTTTAGTGGATCTTAAAAAAGTTTGGAGGGGCAAGCATTACAGGGCAGCTGGTTAACCTACTGCTTACTATTCATGCAACTCATATTAGAGTATGGTTCTATCCCAGCTACTGCAGTTGAGATGGAATCCTAGGTTGCCGTCTGTCATGGATCCTGGCTTGATCTAGCTCTGGCAGTTGTATACATTTGAGGCATGAACCAGCAGATGGGAGATATGTCTGTCTTTCTCTCTGTTCTTCTTGCCTTTCAAGTAGATTAAAATAAATTAAAAATAAAAAATTTGTGAAACCTGCATATCATGACAAACTGGGTTGGAGCAATTAGCAGCTATAGTTGCTTACAACTCCTACATCTTGGATTTGAGATCCAGATATATTCTTGGTTCTTGCTTCTTCCTAATGCACATCCTTGGAAGGAACAGGTGATGACTCAAATAGTTGTTAACCTGCCCACGCATGTGAAAGACTGGAATTGAGTTCTGATTTCCAGCATTGACCTGACAAAACCCCTTGCTGTTCATGGAATTTGGGGATGGGAGATTTTTGTCTGTTTGCTTTTCTGTCTTTATCTTTGTGCCTTTTAAGTAATTGAAATAAAGTAGAAAAAAATATCTATGCGTGGATTTCCGAAATATTCACATGAAAATGAACTTGTAATACTTGTTTTCATGAACTTTTTAAGTGCCATCATCATTATTCATTTACAGAAGAATGAGAAAATACAGCTTACTTGACTTTTGTTTACTTGTGCGCTCCTTTAATCCCACTTGAGAGTATTCTAAAGGCCTTCATGGCTGCAATTTAAATGTTTGAGGCCAGCTGGTCTTCTGGAAGTACATTATGTTAAAGACTAACTAGGTTAGCATCTTTCCTAAACTTGTCTCTAGATAATTTATTTCTGATTATAATTTTACAGAACCCCAATTCAAGCTGTGAGCCAAAGATCGAAGATGAACAGGTTTGCTGTGAAGCCCTGGAAGTGATGACATTATGTTTTGCTTTGATTCCAACAGCCTTAGATACATTTAGTAAAGAAAAGGCCTGGAAAACCTTCATCATTGACTTATTATTGCATTGTTCCAACAAGTGGGTGATTTATTTATTTATTTAGAAGGAAAACTGACCATAATCTTTCTAGTAGAAATGAGTTAATTTTGAAGAAAATATATCCCAAAACTTAAATTATAAAGCTTTTTTCTTACCTACTAATACTTTAGTATTTAGGAAAGTTTTATGTAATATGTTCCATTTAACCTAATTTTATTTCTCTGCTAAATATCGGCATTGGGTTTTGTTTCTTTTATTGCTTGTTCTTTGCTGTGGTAAAATATGTGATTACATATAATGTAAAACCAGTTATTTAGCATCTTTTAAGTGAACAGTTCAGTGTCGTTAAGAGTGTTTCTAGTATTATTCCATTATCGTTGCTATGTTCCCCACATAAATCACCTTTTCTCACTCCCCACCCGCTGGTAATTGTTATGTCACTATAAAATTGCCTATTTTAAATACTACATATAAATAAAATTATGCATGGAAGAAAGTGGTAAGAAGCAAATGAAAATTTACCTCATATCATGTATTGCAAAACTAATTTGAAGATGTCAATAATAGTAATCTATCTCTAATCTAAAATTAAATTTCAATACCTTACCAAAGGGTTTTTTTTTTCAGAATTGAAAAAGTCTAGTTTAATATTAGTATGGATTATCACAGACCCAGAATAGTCAAAACAGCCTTGAAAAACAACAGTAGGAAGACATCAAGACCTCTTGATGTCAAAACTTAATTTAAAGCTAACATATTAAAAATGATTTGTACTGGTAACACAGGTGTACAGATCAGAGAATAAAACTAAAAACCTAGAAGTAAACTTATTTTTGGTGAACTGAATTTTCACTACGTGTCAAGACCATTTAGTGGGGGTGGAACACTTAATAAGTGTTGAGAAAATCAGATTCCATATGTACTTCTTTGTGTCTGCTTAGTTTAGAATAATGTTTTTAAGGTTCATCCATGTTGTATGTCACAAATTGATTTTTTTGAGGTTGAATAATATACCATATGTATTGCTTTCTAGACTAATCTATTAATGGATACTTGAATTATTTCTATGTGTTAGCTATTAACAATTGCATTGGTATAAATAATCCAAGAAGATAGATCTTTTCCTATTTTAATTTTTTTTAGCACGTGCCTAGAATAGATATGCTGAGTCAAACAGTAGTATTTAAATTTTTAAAGCAATATTAAGCTCTCTTTTTCTTTTTCTTTTTAATTTATTTATTTGAAAAGCAGAGTTGCAGAGAGGTGATGTGGTTGGGAGGTCTTCCTTCACTGGTTCACTCCCCAAATGGCTGCAATAGCCAGATTTGGGCAGATCTGAAGCCAGGAGCCTGGAGCCTCCTCTAGACAACCATGCGTGTGCAGGCGCCCCAAGGGCTTGGGCCATCTTCCATGCTTTCTCAAGCCTTGACAGGGAGCTAGGTCAGAAGTGAAGCAGCCAGGACTACATGTGGGATGCAGCATTGAATACATGTCTTTACCTACTAGGCTTTACCCAGTACTGCAGAGGGCTTCAAAGTTTTATATACTCACTATTAATTTATATAAACCTCAGTTTCAATGGGTGTCTTACACTTTTCTTTATTGTTTTTGTTTTCATATAATTATCCAAAAGGGTGTGAGATAGTGAAGTAGGCAGACAAACAGGTTAAAATTGATTAAGTTTGTGAGCTGGAAGACTGTGCCTTTGCCATGCCCCTGTGTGACCTCATGTCCCTACCTAGCCACACCTGAGTGCCCACCAGCCAGTCAAGTTAATTAATGGACTCCCCTTTGGAAATGGGTTAAAGCCTGAGACATGGTGTGACCCCTCTCTCTTCTTCCCTGGCCTCTAGCCAGGAGGGGGCTGGCTGTAGCCCTGTTCCCCTGGGCAAATGGCCTTTGGGCCACCTGCCCTAGGCTTCCTGGCCTAGATGCTCTTTCATGTGGTTGGTTCCTGGTACTCTGTATGAACCCAGATTTACCCCTGTCTCCCTTAGATAAATCTCTCACTCTCCTGTTCATCTTTCTCATTAATTAAAGCCTAAAATGTACCATGCTGCCTTGTTTATTTATGCCAGTATTTAGAATTCTTCTCTAAATATTAGGCAGGAACCCTCGCGGGCTTACTATATTGGGGGTTTATTAATAAGCATATTGTAATATCATGTGGCACCCCAAATTTTTTTTCAGTTTTTTTTTTAACTTTTATTTAATGAATATAAATGTCCAAAGTACAGCTTATGGATTAGATTACATTGGCTCCCCACCCCCAATGACTTCCCTCCCACCCGCAACCCTCCCCTTTCCCGCTGTCTCTCCCCTTCCATTCTTATCAAGATTCATTTTCAATTTTCTTTATATACAGAAGATCAGTTTAATAGACATTAAGTAAAGATTTCAACAGTTTACACCCACATAGAAACACAAAGTGAAAAATACTGTTTGAGTACTCGTTATAGCATGAGGAGTAAGTGCACAGTGACTCCTGTTGTTGACTACAAATTGACACTCCTGTTTATGGCATCAGTAATCACCCTAGGCTCTTGTCATGAGTTGCCAAGGCTATGGAAGCCTTTTGAGTTCACCGACTCTTATTTTATTTAGACAAGGTCATAGTCAAAGTGGAAGTTCTCTCCTCCCTTCAGAGAAAGGTACCTCCTTCTTTGAAGACCTGTTCTTTCCACTGGGATCTCACTCACAGAGATCTTTCATTTAGGTCTTTTTTTTTCTGGCACCCCAAATTTCAATAACATATGTGGCACCCCAGATGGAACTTCTGGGGAACTTTAAGGAGTCACATTTTCATATACATTTTAGGGGGTCATTTCCGATATCAATAGTGTCTTTCCCTTTCTTTCTCTTAGTTCATCTGAGAGACAGAGAGTATGAGAGAGGAAGAGACTTCCTATCCATTGGTTCATTTGCCAAATGATTACAATTACAAGGGTTAGGCCAGGGCATTAGGTCAGAAACTTTTTATTATTCCCATTTGGTAATTTTTGTGCCTGATATGTTTCTTTTTTAAATCATCCCCCCAGAAATAATTTCCCAGATCTGTATCTTGAAACATTTCCATATTTTTCTTCAGATTTTCGTGATTTGATATCTTACTTTCATCACTTTGGGTTTAATATTGTATATGGTGAAAGGTTTTAATATCATGCTTCAAGATACGGAAATCCAGTTGAAAGAATTTTTTCCCAATGTGTGTTGTTAGCACCTCCATCAAAAATTATTTGACTGTAAGTGCATGACTTTATTTCTGGACTCTGTGTTCTACCTGTAGGTCTGATTTTATACCGGTATCAATGCTATTTTAGTTACTGTAGTATGTCATGTAATTTTATCTAAAGCTTTGTGCTTTTTGCTCATGACTGCATTTGTTACCACTGTCACCCTCAAGGGATCCTTTACTTTTTACATTTTTGTGCCTCTCAGTCTAAAAAGTGAGTTACTTAGATCACGTAGATATCTTTTTTTATGCTAGTCTATGCCTTTTCATGAAAGTGCCTAATCTCTTTACATTTAAATTGGTAACTAAGAAGAAATGACCTTTTTTTTTTATTTTTATTTTAAAGCTTTTATTTAATGCATGCAAATTTCATAGGTACAAATTTAGGAATATATTGGTTTTTCCTCCCATACCCACCCTCCAATCTCTACTCCCGTCATACCTCCTACTCCCTCTCCCAACCCACTCTTCATTAAGATTCATTTTGGATTAACATTATATACAGAAAAACAACTATACTAAGTAAAGATTTCAACAGTTTGCAAACAAACACATACATGCACAATGCTAAAAGTACTTTTTGAGAACAACTTGTGCAGTTAATTTTCTTTCTTTTAAACTTTTATTAAATAAATATTAATTTCCAAAGTACAGCTTATGGATTACCGTGGCTTTTTCCCACTATAATCTACCTCCCAACCACAACCATCCCATCTCCAACTCCCTCTCCCATCCCATTCATATCAAGATTCATTTTCAATTATCTTTATATACAGAAGATCAATCTAGTATATACTAAGTAAAGATTTCAACAGTTGGCACCCACACAGAAACACAAAGTGTAAAGTACTATTTGAGTACTAGTTATACAGTTAATTCATACAGAACAACACATTAAGGACAGAGATCCTACATGGGGAGTAAGTGCACAGTGACTCCTGATGTTGATTTAACAGTTGACACTCTTTTTTTTTTTTTTTTTTGAGACACTAAATGTTACAATTTATTCCATCTTCATGATCACAGACATTACAGCGCAGGGCAGGTAAACAAGGCCAAAAAAAGCAAATACCCTTTTCCCCTACAGAACCAGAAGCAGAATGTGGCATTTTTAGGACCTGCAGTTGGCTTAATTTAATGTCTTGGACTGAATTATGGGCTGGTGAGAGCAAACCTGCAGTGCAGGCTCCTCTCTTATGATGACTGCAGGTTCTACATTTCTGAGATGCAGCATGAGCTCCGAAACCATGACCACCACAACACTCCTGAAGGTTTCACCTCTGAACCTGACATCTTTTGTTAAGGCAGGGAACTGGTCCTCTGTTCCCAAAGCACTGATCAAACCATGGTGCCCTGACCCCTTGTCAGAGCATTAGCTCCCTGAGAGAGAGAGAGAGACCCTGGCCTACTGCTTTGATGGAGAATGACCCCAGTACAGTGTATGTCATATCATTCACAGCAAAAATCAAGAGGTCAGGCAACCTTGATCATCCTGGCTAGTTTATCATTATTTACCTACAAGGTATATTTAAAGCTAATGCTAGACCAAATATTGCACCCATCCATAGTCCCAAGAAATTGTTCCTCTCAGCACAATGAGTTCCTGCGAGATGCTAGAGCAAGTGAGAGATCGTCTCAAAGCAGAATGGTGGTTGGTTCATCCTCTTACAAGTGAGGAAGAAAACTAAACACCACATCAAATCCAATGGTCATCTTCACAATCTCAGTGGACACATCCAGGGTCCTCAGTTTCCTGATTGGAGGGGGTACAACTGCAAGGTGTCTGTCAAGGTCAAGAAGAGTTTTC